CCGCACCTTCCTCCCCGATCACCCTTTTGCTTGCCTTCGGTAGCGTCTTTCATGCCCGGCTCCCTCGACATCACGGGCCCTCCCGACGCGGCGTAAGTGGCCCCACATGACATCTCTCCCCCTCGAGAGTCGGTTTCGTCCTCGAAGTGGAAGTCTGAAAACGTCATGGAAGGATTCAACATCTTCCCATGTGGCCGACTGGAGGTTCGCCGCGCCAATGGACGAGCGGTGATTTAACGCCGCGCCAAGCGAGCATGCTCAACCTCCGCTGGGCTCTGGAGCCACCGTACCATGGTGGATGTGTGGCGAGCGGTGGGAGCGTCCGAGGGGTGCCGGCGAACTTCTTGAGGGTACCGACATGAAACACATCATGTATACGAGCTTGCGGGGGAAGCTCCAGACGCACAGCCACATCGTTGATGATCTCGCAGACGCGGTAGGGCCCGATGTAGCGCTGGCTGCAGCTTGCCGATCTCGCTACCGAGGAAGGGGACGCCATGGTGCTTGTTGTCGAAAAGCGCAGAGGCGCCAATCGCCGACCGGTAGTGCACCGGCGATGCCGCCTGGTCGTAGTGGCGCTCGACACCACAATGCTTGCTCCAAGCGGTAGCGAACATCAGCTAGGAAGGCCTCGCGCTCCTCCATGTCGCGCGCCACTGCCGCAACTCGCGTCTCACCAGGCTCGTAAGAGCGGATGGTGGGCGGGTCGCGGCCGTACACCACGCGGAACGGCGTCTCCCGAAGCGAGGACTGATAGGCCGTGTTGTACACGTATTTCATTACGAAGCCATCGCAGCCCATCGCCGGAATTCGGTCACAGAAAAGCAGTAAGTACATGACAATGACCCTGTTGGCCGCCTCTGTTTGGCCGTCGGACTCGGGGTGGAAGGCGGAGGTCATGTGCAGCTTGGTGCCCATGAGGCGCATCAGCTCGCGCCAGAACCGCGAAGTGAACACCGGGTCACGGTCGGACACCATGGACTGCGGCAGGCCATGGAGGCGCACGATGTCGGTGAAGAACGCTGAGCCACTGTCTCAGCAGTGTACGGGTGCGCCAGGGGTATGAAGTGGCCGTACTTGCTGAAGCGGTCGACGACGGAGAGGATCACCGACTTGCCATTCACCCGGCGGCGCTTCCACACAAAATCGAGGCCAATGTGGGCCCCACACAATAGGAATGGGCAGCGGCAGAGTGTGCCTATTTGGATGAAGATGCTCTGACTTGTACCTCTGGCAAGTGACGCACTGGCACACAAAGTCCTGCACACAACGACTCATGTTGGGAAAATGGAAGTCGCGGCGGAGGCGGTGCAAGGTGCGCTGGACACCCTCGTGCCCATCGTCGTGGACGGCCGCCAGGATCTCTTGCAGTAGTGGCGATGACTGCGGAATGTAGAGGCGTCCACCGTAGGTGACCATCTTTGTCGGCAAATCGAGGGAGCGCACGGTGCCGCGGCGGCTTCGTCGTGGATGGCCACCAAGGCGGGGTTGGTTGCCTGGGCCTGGCGTAGACGGCTGATGAAGTCGAAGCGAGAGCCCGAGATCGCCATGAGTGCAACCGCCGGGTCCTCGTCGGTGTCGCGGCGCGAGAGGGCATCAGCCACCGTGTTGGTCGCCCCCGACTTGTACTCGACGGAGAAATCGAAGCCGAGTAGCTTCCCGACCCAGTGATGCTGTGGGATCGTCGCGAGGCGCTGGTCGAGGAGGTACTTAAGGCTGTAGTGGTCCGTCTTGACGAAGAAGCGACGTCCCCACAAGTACGGCCGCCAATGCCGCATAGCCATGACAAGGCCAATGAGCTCCCGCTCATATGCCGCAAGGGAGCGGTGTCGTGGCGCCACCGGCCTGCTGAAGAACGCAATCGGATGCGCCTCCTGGATGAGGACCGCCCCGAAGCCGTAGGTAGACGCGTCGCACTCGACGACGAAAGGCTTGCTGAAGTCCGGAAGTGCCAGCACCGGGGCGGACGTCACAGCCGCCTTAAGGGCGGTGAAGGCAGCCGTGGCGTCGTCGTTCCACGTGAACCCCTCCTTCAGGAGCGCGGTGAGGGGCGCGGCGATGGTGCCGTAGTTGTGGACGAACTTCCAGTAGTAGCCCGCCAGCCGAGGAAGCGTGCAGACAAGACGCTGCGAGCGAGGTCGTGGCTACCGTGTATGGCGAGGACCTTGGCGGGATCATAGCATGGCGCGCCGCCGCGGAGATGATGTGGCCGAGATAGCTCACGGATTCGACGCCGAACGAGCACGCCGACCTCTTGACGAAGAGCGGTGTTGGCGCAGTAGAGTCAAGACGACGCGGAGGTGTCGGAGGTGGTCCGCCCAGCTGGAGCTGTAGATCAAAATATCGTCGAAGAAAACAAGCACAAACCGGCGGAGGTAGGCACGCAACACGTCGTTCATGAGTGCTTGGAATGTTGCCGGGGCATTGCAGAGGCCGAATGGCATCACCAAGAACTCGTACAGGCCGTCGTGGGTGCGGAACGCCGTCTTGTGGATGTCCTCGTGCCGCATCCGCTTTGGTGGTACCCGACCGGAGGTCGAGCCAGAAGAAGCGAGCCCGTGCAGCTGCCTCGTCCAGCCAGCTCGTCGACGGACGGGGATAGAAGGCGTCCTTGATGGTGACGGCGTTCAGGGCGCGGTAGTCGACGCAAAACCGCCACGAGCCATCCGCCTTCTTGACGAGGAGGACCGGCGAGGAGAACGCCGAGTCGCTGCGGCGGACGATCCCCTGGGCGATCATGGCGGGCGATCTGTCGCCGATCTTCGTCCTTGGGCGCCGCCGGTACCGAAGGGCGGACGCCACCGGAGGTGCGCGCCGGAGTTGGAGGACGATCTTTGTGGTCGCGCGGGCGCGTGGCGGTGGCAAGCCCGTGGGCTCGGTGAAGACGTCGCCGAATGTGGCGGCAGCTCATCGAGGAGGAGGGGCGCTTTCGGCGCCTGTTCTTTTGCCGCGTAAGGTCGGGCACCGGCGACAAAGCCACGCCGGTCCACGTGACGGGAAGCCCGTGGCGCTGGAAGGTCATGCGCGCCGTACGCCAAGGTCCCTGACGATGGGCCCCAACTCACCGAGCCACCGGGTATGCGAGAGGACGTCGTGCGACCGGCCACATGCATGATGACGAGATCGGTAGGAACGCCCGCCATCGACGAGTAGGGGCGCGTCGCGGATGATGACCCGGAAAGCGACTTCGCTCACCATTGGCGACCAAAGGCGGTGAGGCGAGGGCCGGGTGGTGGAGGGTAGACCGGAGCGTCGAGCCGCCTCCTCCAAAATGAAGTTGTGCGTGCTTTCCGGAGTCCAAAGAGGCGACGAGGGCATGTACAAAGAACCACGGCGATCGCATAGTGCCCACCACGGGGACCCCAAACCACGCTCGTAGGGGAAAAACAGGCGCCGTGGCGTCGTGTTGGCGTCGTCCGCCCTGGCGTCCGTGGCGTCCTCAATCTCCACGCCGTCCACGAAGAAGATACGCTGCAGAATCGATTGTGGCTACGTGTGTATTTTTCATTGCAATTGAAACACGTACCTGCACGACGCCGCCCGCCATGTCGTCCGGGTGAGGGCGCCGGTGATTGTGCCCTCAATGCGCGCCTGCTAAGCTAAGGCCGTTGGTGGAGCCGGAGCGCCCGATTCTGCGCCGGGGCGCCGAAAGTCTTGGGTCGTGGCGCGGGCGCAGCATGATGCCGCTGACGGTGGCCTTGAATGGGCCGGCGCCGGGCGGTCGGCCTCCATCAGCTCCACCTGGCGGGCCAGGCTCATGGCCGCCGCCAACGTCTCCGGGTTGTGGATGCGGACGGCGTGGCTGAGTGGTGGTAGGAGCCCGCCGGTGAAGAGCTGGACGCGCTGTGCCTCCTCCAGACGCCCCGCACGCGGCAGGAGGGCCTGGAAGCAATTGAGTACTCCTCATCAGACCATACGCCGCACTTCTCAGCGAGCTCGAACAACGGAGCCGAACGGAGGGGAGGCCCGAACCGGAGGTTCAGGAGGTCCTTGAAGCGCCCCCATGGAGGCGTACCCTCATCCTCTTGGAGCTGGATGTACCAGAGCTGGGCGACGTCCTCCAGGTTGTACGAGGCCATCCAAACTCGCTCCTCCGCCATGGTAATGCGTCTTGGCGAAAGTATGATTCGCATTTGTTGATGAAGAGCAATGGATCGGTCTTACCATCGTGAACGGGAAAATCCACTCGAATTTTGGAGGGCGATCAAGATCGCGCGCCCGTCCGGCGGCCGCCGCCGGCCTTCTTGTCCGTTGAGGACGACGCCTTGTCCTTCATGGCCGCCATGTCGGACTTCATCGTTGATGATTCAATTGAGGGCCTTCAAACATCTCCATCACATCGCCATGGTCGGCTCACTCATGGTGGTGGGTGCGGCGCGACGCGAGGAGGATGATGGTGGTGATGGCGGTCTTTGGGATGGTGGTGGCGGCGGCGTGGTGGATTGGTGGAGCGGGTGGGCGAGGATCGCCGGGAACGCCTGGAGGTCGATGATACTGTGTTGTCAAGGGCAAGAACCTCGATCGGTCGGACATGGCTCACTGAGCTCAGAGTCGCTTACAAATCTTCTCCGGTGAGGTTATACCCTCACCGTAGGCTTACTGAGAGAATAGAGAGAGATTAGGGATAACTTTATTGCTTGCTTGATCATGACCTCTAGTACAGTTTTTATATAGGCTCGCGTGAATGCCACACTTGGCAACAATAAAATAGGAAATAACTAATTAGGGATGAATCCCTAAACTTTAGGCCAATCACTCATCTAATCAAATCAGCCACTTTCCTTAGCCACACCTTCCTCCCGATCACCCTTTCTTGCCTCGGCCACGTCTGCTGCTCCGCCGACATCACGGGGCCCTCCATTGGCGCGCGTAAGTGCGGCCCCACATGACAGTTTGATGCAAAAGCATGATACGAACCATGCCCTAACGGGAAAAAAAACAAGGAAAACAAAGGAAGCACAAAAATCAACTATTGAATGTAGAAAGCAAAAATGCTGCACCTTTTTATTACTAGCAGCATCTTCTGCTTGCTTGACTAAAGCTGTGCCCTCGTTAGTAACATGCTGAAGAGAAATACAGTCAGATTAGAGCATCGAACATATTTACAAAGAAAAGGTACATGTTTGAAGCAAAAGATACCTGCTTAAATATCTGAGAAACGGGTTCTAGGCCACGTGTTATTCTGGAAAAGAGCCTATACATCCTAGACAGATCCTCAACCTGCAGTAAGATTGCACAAATATGATGTCAAGATATTTCTTACAACATAAATATCTTGCTAATGAAGATAGATCTCCCATTGAACCTTGTCGTCACGAAGTAGTGCATGACATCCAGAATGCTCCTTCTCCAAGAGTTGGCTAGCATACTGAGTTAGCAGTTCATGCTGCACTTTCTGCGAAAACCAAAGCATGATGAATTGTGTTATGCAGGGAAAGATAATGTGACTAGCATTCTACCAGGAATCCTATGGCACTTCAAATTACAACAATAAAATAGGGCTTTCCATTAACCTCCAATAACTTCTGCTCACTGCTAGAATGCAAATAGTGAGAAACTCGTTCCTTTTCCCTTTTCAGGCATTCTTCAGCCTAATAAAAGAAACATCCATCAGAATGTGCTCACCCACAGATAAAAATGTTTGCAAAAGCCTGTTTAAGTTGAAGATACCTTTAGCATGTAATCTGGACAAGAATCCTCAAGGATCCAGGATTGGGCTTTGATAGAGTAGTAATCGGCAGTATCTTTGAGCAAGAAATCTTCAAAATCATTTTCATAGCACTCCATACTACCCAAACCAATTTCAACAAATATATCGAGGACATTCTTCAATAGTGCCCTATCTATTTGTTCACCCTCACGTTCTCGGTCAATCTGTTGAAGAAAGAAATTTCCATAACCAATCAGACACAACAAATTAAGTCACATGAAAAGATGTAAATAAAAAACTAACCAAAGATATCACAGCACTTTTTACTTTTCCTTTGATCTCTTGATATACCTGTTACCAGAAGTGAAAATGTTAAAATACAAAAACATTACAGTGACAAGAGACCCCGTAGCTCAGTTTAATAAAATGAACAAGATTAATCCAAAATAAATAGTTATGTTACCAAGTCTCTGAAACAACTAAGCCCGACTTCTCTAAGCGGTGGCAGTGATCTTCGGGAAATGAAGTAACGATCAAGATAATGGAAGAAGCGTGACAGCCACCGAACCATTACTTTATGGTTTGACCACCTTTTTACAAGCTCTCTCAACATAAACTCGTCATGCTTCTCCCTAAGTGAAGGTAAGACCTGCATGAAATTGGATCGATTTTACTGATTACTGAACAAGGGCAAGGGCAAATATAGAGAAAAATGAATGTGGTTAAATCATGGTGATTTGTTTAGTAAGAGTAACAATTCCTCTGACCAAAGTTTTTTAAAAAAAGGGATGTTCAGTCAAAGGAGAAAAGGCAAAAGGTTTGTATATCAAAGTACATTTTTTTCTCATACAGATTAAAGATTTACTATCGACAATTTGAATTGCTAGATCAAGATTCAAATGCTCTTCACAGAACCGACACTTCAGTGCTTCATTATATCAATTAAGGTTTTCCTAGAAGCAAGATACACTCATTTCCAATATAATTGAAGGTTTATCTTCAGACATAAAAAATAGCAAAACATAGGGCAATAAGTTATCTGAATCGAACCACTGGAAAGGTCTTCAATGTAAGTATCCCTTGCCTTCAGCATGATTACTATTAAATAAAAGCATGTACATTTTCATGCAGTGGCAACCTTGTATTTTATTACATATAACTTACCGAAAGCGGGGGATGTCCAAAACAGGGGTGTTAAATGCTAATAAACAAACAAAAACATACAATCAACAAAATCGTCAATTTGTTAAATGTATCCAGTAGAATGCATTTCATCACAACTAGCCCTCCATTGAAAGAATATATGACACCTTGGACTAAATAGGGTCTCCAATACGCCTATAGGCAACTATGACCACAAATTTTCATGGTTATGTTAGTGAGGTGTACAAAAGATTACATTACATTATTACTAATGACTGTAACATTCAAGTACTCAACAAATCTATTAGTACTTGCTAGTGTAGTACTATTTAGTCATGACTAATCTAAGTAATTTGGGGCTGCTTCATTAACCCTTCCAATGGGGAAAAGTGCACAAAGCCTAGTAGAGCCTCTTAAAGAGGGTACCTATGTAATTTCATCGTATTAGTAATAAAACACAGTTTTAGCATGAGAGTTTAAGCCAACTCATTCCTTCCCTACTATGAATGCTTTTAAAAAAGATATCAACAGAACTACAGAAAAAATATGTTTTATTGGAGGTGAGTGTGATTACCACACCCAAGAGCATACATGACTTTTTTGGGCATGATATGAGTGGCTCATGATTCTGTGCCTGTAAGAATGATGGATGCTTTGAAGGAAATCCAAATACTGCTAGGAGCTGGCCTCCATGCAATGAAGCAGGTTGACATGCCCATATGCTTCCTTTCCCTGCACTGAACAATCCATGGCTGCCACAGCAATGGTATTTTCTATGATCTTGCAAAGATGACATCCTTCACACTGCTCAACAATTTCATTTGACAATACGCTCATCTTTTTCATAGAATAAAGACCCCAATCAAGTAGAGCACTTGAGAGTTCAGATCCAAAGTTAATGGTTTGGGCCTGATGGCAGACAACCGAAATAGCTAAACTCTTAATGTGAAAATGGCCTCATGAAGACTATCCCTTAATTTCCACCATTTAGTTAACATCAAAATTCATGTACCTATGTAAAAGGGGTGTACTGAAAAGGGCACGGGTGTTGTTTCTTTTTATATATTAGAGATCAAACTTTTCAATGAAGTTTGTCTACTCAAATTCTAAAACATCATATGCTTCTGAATGGTGAGGGTACAAGGATTGAGAGCTATCACATTGAAATCAACTACATAGTGATGGTACACGGTTCGCACATGCATGAATCCTACAGAAGACCTAGGTCACATACTTTCATGGTCAAACAGAAACTTCCCAACCTTAGCCGATGCCAGATTGTTTTTCCCAAGCAATTATGCCCTCTACAGTTCTATTCTTGATTTTCAGTGGATTAGGATTCTTGTTCCAGGCATCGAGTCCCTCTGTATCTATATAACTCTGCAATGTGCGATGTCTATCCACCCACTGCTTTCTGTGCAACAAGCAAGAAGCAGCATTTCCATGAATGTCTTTGGACTGGGCTTCAACTCAACAAACCACACTAATCTAGCAAAATGGAAACACGAACCGAGCTAGTTCACCAAAGAATCAGCACAAAGAGACTCTCACCATGGATGTGATATATTCCTCGAATGATTCGCGGTACTTCTCGTAGAGCTGCTGGGAGTAGTCATGCGGCGGCTTCTGCGTGCACATGTTGTAAATCGTCCTGCCGCATCAGAACAGAGCCTAGATTAGATTAGCGAAGCAGCAACTAAACAAGCAAAATCTGACTACGGAGGGTGTCGAAAAGACAGAGGAGGGAAGAGGCGCGGCAGCATACGCACGTATAGAGCATCATGTAGTCCTCAGAGCTGAACTGCGGCTCGGGCTTGCCCTCGAGGATGTTCTTGAGCTTGGTGATGCCCTTCTGCATGAACTCCCACCCCTGCTCCAGATCGATCGTCTTCCGCTCGTGCGTCGCCATCGCTCCCCCTCCGCAGCCGGCTCGGCACGGCGCGGGGCGGGGGCGCGGCCAGGTAGCTAACGAGCTGCTTCGCTGGCTTCGCGGCGTGGGCGGTGGCTTCCCACGCGACGCGAGTTGGAGCGGAGGAGGAAGTCGCGATGAAGGGGAAGGGAGAAATTGCGTTTTTCCGATTTTGTGCCGTCTTTTTTTGCTTTTTTATGTTTTATTTTTATCATTTTTTAATGAATCTTGAAAGGAAGTCAATTGCGGTATCCCTGTGAGGGGATCATGGAGCTCACAGGTGACCGGGCGCAAAGTGGAAAAATGGACGGCTCAGGTGCTCTCCCACTACGTTCAAAACCTCGAATCAAAAAATCAAAAGGCACACAAGTGGTCAAGCTTGAATATATTTTCTGAAAAAAAAAGAGCCAAGTGAAAGCAAAAGAGAAAGAAAGTAGTTAAGTACTATATAATCGTCATGTTAGTGGCTTTATTTATTCGCTCTGCTCTGAATTATAAGTCGTTTTATCTTTTTTATATATAATCTTAATTATATTTCTAAATATAATGTATATGTAAGCGTGTAGCAAAATGATTTATATTCTAAAATAGATAAAGTTTCGAAAACAGGACAAATAAAATTCTAGTGGCTACAGGTGAGAGAAATTTGACTACTGAGTACTATTTGGCTGTCCATAAATTCCTATTTGAATGTTTCACATAAACCATCTTGAGTAGTAGCTCAAGTATAGCCACGCAACTTCGTCCCATGTATTTATGAGCTTTTAGATGTAATCATCTAAGTGAGTTTTACCTCTGCATTTGGAGTTGTACTCAAATGTTTACTCTCTTTCTTTATATAAGTATCACTATGGTAAGTTTGACTAGTTTCCAATAAATATTAGCAATATCTTTAAAATCTATTATAAAAAGGGTACAACGATATATCTAATAATGCTAATTATGTGTTATAAATATTAATATCAGCGTTTTCAAAACTTTATGAACAAAAGACAAGATTATTCTCATTTCATTGTATGGAGTAACCGTGTGTTTGGTTGGTGAGATTAGATGGGATGTGATGGGATACTCCTTCTTCGAGCTGTTTGGTTGGGAGTCAAGTGGAACTAGGACGTCCCACTTGAGGAATATTCGCAACATATTCGGAAAAACTAGGACAGCCCTCGTCCCTGAAAAAACAACGGACGGAGTCCGTCCCACTCCGCGTGGGCGAGCGACGGCCATGGGCGGTGGCCAGGCGAGTTGAGCAACTCCCGCGCGAGTGAGCGGCAGCAGGGCGAGCTCGAGGTGTGGCGACTAGGCGAGCTCGAGGCACGGCGACCACGGGCCACGGCTGGGCGAGCTCGAGGCGCGGCGAGCACCACGAGCAACGGTGAGTGGGGCCGACGGGCATGCGCGAGGCCGACATCCATGCGAGGCGGCGCGCGAGCCCACGGCTCTAGGCGTGCGACCTCTATGGGCACGGAGGCGGCATCTGTACGAAGATCCGGAGGAAGAAGAGGAAAGAAAATTTAAAAAAAGAGAGAATGACATGTGAGCCCTACTTGTCATGTGGTTGATCCCATTTTTTATGCCTCAGAACCAAACAAGAAACAGGGACGTCCTGTCCCTCTTCAACTAAACAGAAAATAGGGCTATCACATGGCCATCCCATCCATGAAACCAGAGTCAAGACCATCACACCCCATCTTATCTCCCAACCAAACGCTAAGTTCTCTTGACAAGTACTGTATAGCCTTGCCAAATCAGAAATCAGTGAAACACGGTTATTGGGTTCCTAGGCGAGGCTTTGGGACCTGAGCTAGCGAGCGTTTTGCTTTGCTTCCACCGGCAAGCGAATTCAGCTCGCTAGCGCCTGGAAAGGTAAGCTGGTCCAAGTGAGGTGGTGCTCACTTAGATTCAAGGTAATAAATAGCGGTGGTAGTGGCCGTAATTGCAGCCGCAATAGCGGTAGCGTCATATTGCCGCTATCGCTATGAGGTACTGCTCTAAACTTTGTAGCCTGGAACTTTACGATCGCAATTTTGAATAGCAAGCGACATTTCGGGCCGCAATTGCATGTAACGGACCGTAGTAGCGTAGAAGCAAATAATATGTTTCTTTGCAAACTCTTAATGTGATGATTTAATACGTGGAACACCATATTTGTTTTATTAATTTAAATATGTGAGACATCAGTTTTTTCCGTGCAATTAAATGTCTATTTATACTCATTATTTATGATATATGTATTTAAAATTATGTAAGATTATCAAGTGTCATTATTGAAACTTATCATCCACAATATCGCCCGCTATCCGTAATAAGCTACCTCGACGTCAATTCGCTACCAACCCGCTATACATATTTATTACGTTGCTTAGAATCAAACTTTCACAAAGCAAACGGCTATTACTCCCTTCGACGTAAATAAGATTAAGATTGTGCACGGGTCTGCACCTATATATACGAGAAATAAAAACCCAGGAAGATGGTAGTACATATACATATAGCACGTGTGGCGAGTCTCGACATGGCATTGGGTTGGGTGGGGTGGGAGCCAAGCCGACAGCGCCGTTGGATCCTTTAGGTGTAGGACATCTGGAGCAGCGATGCACACCTCGTCGTTTGCATCCGGTCTCCATCAGATTTTCTTCCCCTATAAGCGCCGCCTCGCTTGCCTGTCGGCGGCGGCCTGGTTATTCGCCGGACCAAGTGGCCGAATGACGCCACATCTTGCTGCAGGTGGACCACCGACCCCCATAACTTTCCTCACATGAGCGCCAGCTTGCCGGTGGTATCGTCTCTGAACGCCGGCGTTCACTTGCCATCTACCATTGGTGCCGCTCACCACCTGCCGCCGCCCGCCGACACTTTGTTCGCCTTGCCGCCACCACAATCCCATCTTCTGCAATATAATTCCAAGGAAACTACGTCAGGTTTGCTATTGGACACTTACTGTTACCTGGCAGAATAAAGCAATGATGCAATTTCTCGTTCTGACACAGAACCTTTCCTCTCATTGTTGTAGTTCGTATCACGGCTTTCTTGTGTATATACAGGAGCACTGAAATAAACTTTTTTTTCTATACAATGCTCCGTATGTGCATATAAGATCTTGTCATTGTTGTGTTGATTTTCCAAGGCCAGATATTTCATATATTGGGAAATAATAAAGGTTCCCTGCACCTTCAACATAACTTAGTCAGGCCTGGTTAACACAAGGCATTCACATTCAGATATTCAAGATTTCAGGTCTTCACATATTTAGTGCCAAAAATTTCAATTCCACAGTACTTCACCGTCTTGTTACAGCCCCACACCTGTGCAACACTGATCAAAACAAGTTCTATTAGCCAGCAGGTCCATAGATAGTTGATACAAATCTTCATCAGTTTGAGGATACATTTTAACCATTATTATGATATATTTGTCAATGGCATTTCATATGAAAAGGTAATCTCAAGGATATTTTATAGGAAAGGTAATCTGATAATGTTTTTTCTACTAAAGAAGTAAAGATATGGCAAATAATTGAAGCCTGCAATTGTTTGCTACCCGCTGGTTTATCAAACTGAAGAGCACACATCTAGTTGGTGCATTGGACTTCGTCATTGATGTTATTCTACTTCTACTAATAATGAATTCCCATGTTATAATGTAGATGATTTGCTATTTGCTAAGCATAAAAACATGATCAAGTTATAAAATCAAACCTGGCTTTCAGGATAACAGCTCACTGGCTAGGTGGCTCTTGAGGAAATAAAAGCTCTAGTATCTCATGACCATACTATGACCATGTCAGCTTTATCCATACTCTGGAGATGCTCCTGCAGCTTACTGCTGCATTTTTCAAACCTCAATTCTCGAAGAGAAGCTGGCAGGCCCCCTCTTGGCAGTGACCGAATTCGTGGACAGGACTTCATCTCCAATTTCTTCAGAAAGGAATTTTCATATATTCCAGCAGGTAATGACTCGAGATATTTGCAATCAATAATTACCAAATGCTCCAAGCGAGGCGGCAGGCCTCTCTCGGAAAATGATGAAATAGTCGAACAGTTCATGAGCTCTAACTTCTTGAGGGATGTAAGCTGATGTAGTTCTACTGGTACGGAGAAGCCATAATCACAATCAAAGAATTGTAGCTCATTGAGTGAGGTGAGCTGTTGAAGTGCTTTCTCCTGCTCTGTTTCTAGTTTATTGGATAGGCCACGAAACTCTAACCTCCTAAGGTGATCAAGGTGCTTGCATATTGACAAAGTAAGCATTGAACTATCACTCGTATGGATGAGTTCCACTGGAAACAGTAATTTGTTGCTTTCTCCCTCTCTTTGCAGCTCAAGATCCCAAGCTCTCCAAAACCCATGGGTAAAGACTACCTCCAATTTTTTGAGCTCAACACATAATTGCAAACCTTGTATGGAGGTGAGCTCTGTGCATCCAAGAACTTGAATGTACTTCAATTTTGTAGAGGATTCCATGTGAGGAGCTTCTAGTTCGCTGTGGCAAATGGATAAGCTCTCCACGGCAGTGAGTCCATGGAGCGACATTGATTTCCACTCTGCCTTGGTTATCTTGAGCACTTGCAGTGATGATGGAAGGAGACATGTACCTTCAACATGATGGATATCTTCATTTTGAAACACTATGTAAGAAAGGAACCTTGGGCACTCATATATCTCCAATTTTTTTAGTGTGATGAGTCCCCGGAGACCCTCCCCATTTTCACATATTGTTGGGCAACTGTCAAAGCACAACTCTTGGAGTGATGACACTGAACGTGGATGGATGTGCAACAACCCATCAGCTGCTGCACCATCAGGTAACAAAATTGGGCTGCCTTGATCTGCATGTTGGTGTACCGTCAACCTTCTGATCCGCCGACACTCTTTTAGCTTCAGGAAAGAAAGATTTGGTGCATGTGATAGTAAACAAGATAGATTTTTTCCAGTGATACCACACGACCAGATTTCAAGCCTCTGGAGTGATGGAAGAAGTCCCTTAGCAAGCGTTCGCTCTGTTTCTGTCATCTGCACTGAGAGCAGGTTTGGGCAATGATATATTGTCAGATCCTTCAATATGCTAAATTGGTGAAGTCCTTGCCATGAGATGCTTGTGAGGTTTGGACATGTATCAATGGAGAGCTCTTGCAAAGAAGCTAGATTTTGAAATGATATAACATTTCCATCAAGTACTCTCAGATCATCCTTCCCCATTAAGAGCAAGCTTGGATTGGTATCTGCACTGTAGGACATGCGGCTACATGGAAATGATTGTACATCCTCAACCAACAGCTTAATTTTGGGACCCAGAGGAAGTGGTGGTAATCCCATCAGGCAAGGGCAACCCTTAATCACCACACTTTGGAGTTGGCGGTACTTTGCTACTGCAGAATTACATGTAGGTGGTAAAGGCAAGTATCTCAGTATGGGGCAGTTGCATATTTCAAGTACCTGTAGATCATCTATTAGTTGGTACTTTTCAGAGGAACTCCATTTCTTTAGTTTTGGCATATCAGATAATATCACTTCCTCTAAAGAAGCACTTTGCAACTCTGTAATATCAAGCAAGCTGATTAAATGCAGTTTCTTAAGTGCTGGAAACAGTGAAAATGATGGAAGATCTTTGCATCCCTTGCAGTTATCAAGATAGAGACAGCGCAGGGAAGTGAGGAACATATGTTTTGCCAACCATGCTGGAGCTGATGCTTCACTGTATCCACTAGAGACATTTCTTGTCAGATCACCAGTGGTTCCTCCTACATCCAGCACTTGCAAATGGTAGAGCCTACCCAAGACTTCTGGGAGTTGCACTTGATCATAAGCAATAATTTTTATGTAGCGAAGATGAATGCATTGGCTTAGGTCATACAACAGAGAACCTTCATGATAGGACATCATGCACATTATTATTGAGCGCATATTTGTTGCTTCTCTGAAGGCCAGCCGAAAAACATGTGCAAAGTTGGAATCATATCTGCCAAACAACATCAAGGACCTCAGGTATTTCTTCTGCAGCAAACTGGCTATCTTGACTACTACCTTTTCAATGTCCTCATTACGTGTCGCATTACTGGATATATCCTCATGATACATAGTCTCCGTAATTATGGACATATGACGAATGGTTGCTGATGGGTGCATATTGAACGTGGAGATGCGATCAATAGTCAAGCAATAATGTGAAGATACATTAATTGCCAAGTCATGTATTATATCATGCATAAGGTACCAGGTTTCACAATTTGCTGGATTGACCTCCTTCTGAAAGAATCCCAAACACACCAAGTGGTTCATATATTCATGACCAACTTCTTCTGGCTTCCTATCAAATCTAGTATCAATGAAACCTTGTGAGTTCCAAATGAGCACCAGATCTTTCTCAAGGAACCGGTAGCCCTTTGGAAACAACGAGCAATATGAGAAGCACCTCTGGAGATGAAATGGAAGGTACTCATAACTAAGCCTTAGAATAGACATGATGCCATCAGTTCCATTCTGCTCTTCCCATGCCCTGCTCTCTAAAATTCTACTCCAATGTTCAATGGTCAGGTCCTTCCTCAGTAATGCCCCTACACTTTTTGCTGCCAAGGGATAACCATTCAATTTTCTAGCAATTTCTCTTCCAATGGGCTGTAAATGTTGATGCCCGTCATGCTTCTCATCACCAAATATGTAAGCTCTAAAGCAATCCCAGAATACTTCTCTCTCCAGACCACTCAAATTGATCGGTGACGTTGTGCTGATCAGCTCTGCGACGCGGCGGTCTCGGGTGGTCACCAAGATGGTACAATTGGTGGAGGCCTTGATATAGTTGAATGGAGCCAATAGCAATTCCCATTTTTTCTCATCGACAGTCCAAAGGTCATCAAAGACAAGCAGAAACCTCTTCCCTTGCAACCTTTTGACTAGATTGTTTTGAAGGCTGTCCAAGTTCTTGCTTCCCCTGTCCTGCTTGTTACCAGTGGCGGCCTCCAGCATCTCACGCGTTAACCGCAAGACACTGAAATTGTGACAGTGGGATACACAGATCCACATCCTGGTGTGGAAGAAGCTCCGGATTCTCTTGTCGTGGTACACGTGCTGCAGCAAAGTAGTCTTTCCTATGCCGCCGTTGCCGACGACGGGGAGCACCAGCAGCCTACTCTGGCTGCAGCATCGGATGTCGGTGAGCACCTCAATGATGCTGTCCTCGCCATTTCTGCCGAACATCTTGTGCTCTCCGGCGGGGTATGAGGTCGTCAATCGTAGATTGTTAAGCTGGCTGTGAGCCGCCTGACTGATAGACTTCAGTTCCTCTAGCTGCAGCGCCCTGTGCACCTGCTCGCTGACAACCCGGAGCTGGGATGTGGCCTCTCTGATCCTCCGCCCAAGAGCACCCCAGTCAAGCTCTACCAAAGGCAGATCCAAGGCATTGGTGTCAGCTGTGAGCTTTCTGCGCTTCCTCGGGCCCCAAGGCCAGGGGTACATGAACATGTCCCTGAACGTTGAGGAGGCCAACGGCTGGTGGCTCACCACATCGCTCAGCAGATGTAGTACGGCCGTGGCCGCCGTTGACGGTGCGTGGACCATGCTGCCGCTGGTGGCCTGCTGGTCACGACTTCGCGCATCCTGATCCTGATGGATGCGGTGGTACTCGATCTCGTCGAGCGCATCGTCAGCATCGTACAGCAGCTGGTGCAACTTGGCGAGGAGGCTGGTCAGGTGATTGTTCCGGATCCGCCTCCCCTGGGCCATGCTGAGCGCCGTCTCCACGAAGCTCATCTGTGCCTTGAGACTGTCGATATCGGTGCCCAGGCCGGAGAACTGGGAAACCCATTCCTTGAGCTTGCTGGTGATGACCTGCTCCGTGATGACTCCTGCGATCCACTGGGCAGCGCTCACCAAATGAGAGGCGGCCATCATCGGAACGCGCATCACAGGTAACCGGCGGCGGCAGCGATGGGTGTGGAAGAAAGGCAGCCGAGTGCAAGTGTGATTGGCATTGGCTAGGGAAGCAAGCAGGACAAAAGACAGGAGGATAAGCAGCCATCTACTTGTTATTTTCTGCACAGACCAGTCCAGGTGACCAGGACAGCCTACTGACAACTAGCTAAACCACTACTGATTAAAGACTTTCGTCTCGCAAATTACTTGTGATTCCCATATTTTGTTTTTATCTCGTAAATTAGTCACAATCTATCTAACTAGTTATTTTTTATCTATATTTAATAATCTATACATATATTCAAACATTCAATGTAATAGAAAGTATTTTAGGAACTTAACAAGGCCAATGTTCCTCACTCCACTCCCACTAGCTAAAGAACAACCAGATGCGTTCAGAGTCCAAAATTTGACCTAGGGAAAGGGAGTGAGAGGGATCGTGATGATGACAAACGGCAACCTTTGACAGAGTAAATTAAAAAGAAAGCATAGCCTAAACCACTACTGTCTCTCGCTCGCTTTTCGTTAAACTAATAATAAACGTAGGAGTAGGATGCGTGAGAAGATGCCATTGATTGCTCGTCCATGGCTCATCCATGATCTCTTTCTTGACCTTTCCATGACCATTGCCAATTCCATCTAAAGCTTTAGCTGCTGACTCAATTCCTAGACCTTTCTTAGGGACATCAAAGAAAGAAGAAATTCATCCTTTGAAGCTTCCTTTTGAATTCGAGGAGGATCTTTTTCTTGATGTTGAGAACACCTTCAATCATCCAATCCAACAGAGATCTTCGGCATCCTTGACCCCAAATCATCTTCTTTGTTCATCTCAAGATTTGGTTGCCCAGGAGCCCCTCGAATCAACATCATTTTCACCTCAGACTTTGATCTTCCGGATGTCCATCCTTGTTTCTTTGTTGATAATTCAAACCAAAGAGGCACTTCACCCCTTTTGGTTGACACCAAATGAGAGCACAAATCATCTGAGGTGAAAATCCTCATCCCAATGGAGGACGAGGATGGAAATCTACTCATAGAATGCCATAAACAAAAGATAATGGACGAATATGTTTAGTCTATGGATATTCTCGAGCTATCAACTTTAGAGTCCAAAAAGGAGGATCATGTGGACGAACATCAAAGTTACATTCTAGAAGAGCCACAAGATCCACGCTTTCGTGAGAAATCTCCATATTCAATCTTTCCTTCTACCAACTGCACCTATGAGAGTTACACCTATCCTATGCTTCTCTTTTATCAAATACTCAAGAGGATGGTTGTGGATGCTTTTGTCTATCACAAGTATTCCAAAGCTCGTAGTTGTCTTAGTGCAAGTTATTGCAGTTGAAACTACAAAAATCGAGCTTATGACTTAAAACAAAGCACTGCTAGGAGATAACCCGTTTGCTTGCTATTTTTAATTCAATAAAGTGTGTTTAGTTTCTATCATCTTATTATCATAAGTAGTAGTAGTAGTAATAAATAAAAATAATTTACCTTTATGCTTTTTCCTTCAAATAAAATAGAGCAAACACACTAAAGATTGAGCTTGATTGTTGCACCGGCCGATGTACTCACACATCAGTCGGGTTTGTAGTATCACCTTGCACTAGTCTTTGTTGCAGATATTAAAATCATGAATCAAGACTTTTTGAGCACGCATCATAGATGACATCAAGAAGAAGGAATTCAAATCAAGGACAAGGTACAAATGTGCAATTCAAGAGTGAGGCCAATCGGGCATGGAGAGCTTGGAAGCAAATGTGATGGTCCATTCAAAGTCATCATCATGAGCCGTCACGCTTCAAAACAACAAAGGTAACATCTCTAAGGTATATGGTTAATGTTTAAATATTACCTTTGACCCGATAAGCATGAATATTTGATATGATTGAACTTGTTTAGTTTTGCTAACACAATGTTCAAGCTTAGCTTTTCAATCATGCCTTCTTTTTGTTCATAATCATAGCCAACTCTTTTAAACTCTTATCACATTGAGCAATGAAGTATGCCCAAAATGATTGTGCATATGTTCTTCTATCTTGTCTTGTCTGAATCCAACATAGGAAGAGTGTAGATTGAGATGTTAAAATTGAATGATCTTGTTCTATTTTTACATCCTCAACTCTAAAACAAATGCTTAAATATAAACCTCTTACGCAACCTGTTGTCATTTTGAGTTTAGATAAATTTTGTGACCTTATGAACTAGTGGCACTTCAAAGATTTGAACTATCTCCTTTATAAATACCCTTTTTTGCCTTTTTTTGAAGAGAGACATGGAGCTACCAAAAAAAGGTTGGGCACATGAAGGTCCAAGTATCTAGGATCTCTCTCCATTCTTCGTACAAGTCTGAAAAAAGACATGGGATATATGTTATGAAAAAAAGAGAGTTCGAAAAGATGATGAATAAAAAGAGAGAGAAATGAGTGAAAAAAGTGTCGAGGAAAAAAAGAGGATGAGCATCAAAGATAGCCCATGATCTCAATCATCTAGATTTGGAGAGAGAATCTTTAAGGAGTCAACCTTCCACTCATATCCACACACTTGCACCCTCGATTATGTTTGTATGTTGTTTTCCTCCATGGATCCATGCTTTGACTTTACAATATAAACATTCAAAGTATGCCTTTCAAGTTTTCCTACCCAAAACTTCACATAAGACGTAGTTGTAGGGCCTTGAGGCAATAGCAAAAGATCTTGGTGAGGACACGCACACACAAATACCATTGAGTGATTTGAGAGAACCATATGAGGAGTAACATGAGCTATGTTTTGTTTTGAAAAAATATTGTCAAAAACTCCAATCTCACTTGAGAAGGAGAAGTGTTCTATGTCTTCAAGTCTGAACTGTTCCATTTCTCAATCGCCTAAGGTGATGTTCTAGCCACTTCAAAACCCACAAGTATGAGTATGTGACTTGGAATATCTTTTATGCTTGCATCATATCCTAAGAAAGTTGTGTATCAAATCCACCCGAATCTTAGCTCAGTCCTCTTTCTTGTTCGAATCCTTTACTCAGGACGAGCAAAGGTTCGGTGTGGGGGAGCTTGTTGACGGTCACTAACACATATTTTGACCATCAACATTTCACCCAAAAGCAAGATAAAGTTAGGAAAGTCATCATCACATGTGTAGGATTTGCTTTATAATTCACCTAGTTCCACTTGTACATGGAAATATATTTGTATGTAGGAATTTTTGCCAAAATAGTGACAAATACACACATAGGAGGCAAGTGGACGTGGCAGGAGGCCTTGGGGCCACTTGGGCCCACCGGCCAGCCCCATAAGGGGGCCGCCCCCCAAGTGCCACCTTGGCACTGGCCACATCATCGATCCGTGGGAGCTGCTCCACAAGCTCTCCCATGCGTTGATTTAAGTCAGTTTGCATCAATGGTCACGATGGAGTGGTCTTGGATCTATGGGTCCACTGTCATGGACTTGGAGCCCTCCAACCGACCTCCAAACCACTTTACCTGCCAAATTTCGACATGTGCCAACTTCACAACTGCCTTTGGGAGCCAACCAAGGCCCTACGATCGAAGGCGGTGAAATCAAGGGCCGGCCGACGCCCTTACCACGCCACCTGGAGGCCCACTTTCACCAAACTGCCTCAAATTTGGACAGCATGCATACTAGCACAAGTGGAGCAATGTGGTGCGTCCATTTATGGCGGTTCAAGGTCGGTTACATCCAAGGGTGGAGAAGGTTGGTCACGCAGATCGCTGACGTGGCGCTAGAGTAGCCCCTACTCCACCTCAAGGTATAAATAGGACCCCTCTCCCTCATTTGTAAAAGCACCATCTCATTCCATCACTCCAGTTGATGTGTAGTAGCTAGGATAGCTCTGTAGCTCTACTACTTAGAAGTAGAAGATAGGGAGAGAGTGAGGAGAAGCTTGGAGAAGGGCTGGGGTTGTCGGCATCCTCTCCACTTGTGCTTTAGCGGATGAAGCTCTTCTTCGAGTGAAGTCCGACATCTTCTGTGTGGTAACTCTGCTCTTTTGCATTACTTAAGTATTATTTATATTATTGTGTTTACTGGTTTCACTGCTTGGTTAGAGTGCTCTAGTCTCATTTCATTGTGTACAGGATTAGAGTAGTGAGTCTATAGATTAAGCGTGGTGCTTAGGCTATAGCTTGCCTGTATTTACGGCTAGGCCTCCGAATAGATTGTGGTAGGTGGCAGGTGGTGACAGCCCTGTCCATCCTCTGTATTTCACCATGATAGGTCTCGTTATTAAATCATATGGCTCATGGCAGACCTTGTCTAGTTATCCCTCCTAGTTGCTAGACGGGCTGTGCCCCGAAGTAAACAACCGTGATATAGTATTCCTTAGTCTTGCCTTAGTTCAGAGAGACCACATATATCCTCTCTACCTATTATCTTACCTTTGTTCTATCCTTGGATAAACTTAGTTCTTAGTCTAGTTCACTTCGCGTTCCCCATAGAAATATGATACCTTGGAATACTCCTGGGTGAAAGCTACATTGATATCCGTGCGCTTGCGGATTTATCTGTTTGCCATATCTAGTGTCAACAACGGTCACATCACCCGCCGAGGAGGTAGGGCAGTCAAGCGCAAGCTTCTCGAGTTCCTCTTGAGGTGGCTCAGGGTCTTGCATTTCATGTAGCACTCAAGTTGCTTCGAGGGCTCAACGTCCCCTTCCTTGGGGGTTTCCTCTTCTAAGTCTGGGTACTTGAGGAGGAACTGATCGTAGTCAAAGACCTCGAGATCGATGATGGGCTGCTCGCCATTTATGTCCTCCCAATCTTCCGGTGCCACTACACCACAACACTAAGATTAGCGATGGATGGTCTGACGCTAAAAGCGGCTACAGTGATAGACAATCTGGCGCTAAAAAGTTATAGCGACAGACTTCTACAGACGTTGTAAGTCATGTCGCTAAAAATCTTTAGCGTCAGACAGTACTTTTAGCGACAAATCCATCGCCCTGAATATTTATAGCGATGGATAGTCCATTGCTA